TAATAACGTTATTTGACATACATATTTGATATTATGTGTTTCATAATTATACGAGAGATCGTACATAGATTAATTAATGAGGAAGAGGTTGCTAGCCGAGCAGTTGAAAGGGACCGAAGCGACCACACCCGACATTAATGACATCTTTCAAAGGGTCGATGGTAGAGGAGATAGTAGGAGGAAGAGGATGTACGGACTCGGGTCACATACATCTCACTACTATTCATCTGTCAATGCGAGCTCATCTTCTCGCTACTTTCGGATTCAATGCGATTGATGAGGCATAGTTGAAGGAATTACAAGAGCAAACATCTACAAACACAACACACATCAATAATTTAGAGGGTACGTCAACGACCTACGGGGCTAAGTTGTATCGTTGTTGGATACGATAAATGAGTTGAGAACCTATAGTCGATAGCGAGTATATGATGATGTCACAAATGCGGTAGATGTTCATGCGGCATTTTGAGTGTGGTGGTAGTTCATCCATTGTTCCCGAGACCGACGACGACGCAACCCAACCTCCGGACAACTCGACCCGACCTCCGATCGATCCTGGACATTAAGTTATTTTAGCTTTTCTATTTTCTTGTATTAACCGCAAGTCGATGTACTATTTTTTGTTATTTAACAATAATTTAATTGTTTAATGACGTTTTAATACATTTCGAATAATAAAAAATTTACGTTTATGATATTTTACAAGATTTTTGTTATTTTAAAATTGTTACTTTTACCTCATTTTATTATAGCTATAAAAAAATGTATTTTTTCAATTAGCAACGATCTTAAAAACGGTCTAGATCGTCGCTAAAAATAAAATGTTACCAACGAGTCTAGACCATTGCCAATACTTTAGCAACGGTGCAGACCGTCGCTAATCCGTCTCTATTTAGCAACGGGCATACCAAGGATTTACAAGACCGTCGCTAATTTCATAACCGTTTACATCAACATTTAGCGATGAAATAACAACATTTTGGACCATCGCTAATTTAGCAACGGTCCAAACCGTTGCTAAACAATACCGATGAGGTTTTTAGAGACGATTACTTGATCGTCGCTAATTACTCGCTAAAACATTTTAGCAACGGTTTTTTTATTTAGCGACGGGTCCGCCTGTCGCTAAATGGAATTTATCTTGTAGTATTTTCTTTTCTTGGATCGACACAGTTGCACATGCTAACCTTTTTTTCTTTGGGATGGCTAACGGCCCGGGTTTGGAATGGAGAAGCAAGCTCAGCCAGTCCTAGCACACGAGCCCACCCGTGTTAGGTGGCCTAGCTACATGCCCGACCTTTTTCTTTCCTTTTCTAATAATAATTTTTATGTTTTTTTTTATCACAATATTAGGTTTGAAAATATAGAAAATAGATCATTATTTTTTCTTTAGTTTTACGTATAGTTTGACGTAATATAATATATATGATATTTTTTAATATTTTAGTTTGAATATATATATATATTATTCTTATTGTTTAAAATTTATTTCTTCAATTGTTTGTTTCTTATTAAAATTCTCATTCAATTAATTTTTTAATTTTTTGATGTAATTTTATTTGTTAATAGTTTTTTTTTATAAATGGATTTTGAAATAAAATTTTAGAATGTGATTGTTTTATTTTTTAATATATATTATTATAATTTATATGGCTGATTATTTTTATGATTTTTAAATAAGAGTAGTGTAATTGTATGTATAAATTCCGATATGAGAGAGAGAGACAGAGAGAGCTAAAAGTGTGTTTTAGATAATTTGACTCAATTTTTTTTTAAAAAATTAATGATTAGTTAAAAAATTTTTTGTAGGTTTTATGTGCTTATATATATTAGAATTTATCGAAACCAATTTTGTAGTAGTTTTTATTTAAATCTATTCACTTTGATATATTCCATGCAATTTAGGTGGAGATTTCTTTATATTTTATATATATATATATATATATATATATATATATATATATATATATATATATAGTTTTGTTAGAAATTAATTATATATCGAGTACACATAACACCAATTATTTATCATTTATTTTTTTCATGTTCGAAAATCTATATTTTTAAATAAAATAATTTAATTAATGCTTTGAAATAATATTTCAATTATTCAAATACAAATTTTTATTCTAATATTATAAATTATTTTGTTAATAAATATATATAAATCAAATAATTTTGCTCATAGATTCAATTTATATTAATCACCGTAAATAAAATTTCTACTCACACCACACCATATGAATCATTAACCTTATGTATATAATGGTTGTCTAACCGTAGTATAGCACGTGTATCTAACTAGTTGTTACTAAAATTGATATAATTATTTTTATGATTAAATAAATTTCGCTAGCATGTGCATGTAATGAAAATTTCTTCGAAATGTCGGTATAATCCAAAATGTCCATTGAAATCCATTTCATCACAATTCTAACTCTCTTCCTTGCAATGTAAATTAGGGCTTTGCAAGTTTCGATTTTGACGAGAGAAAGTTCATCCATCTCTTATGTCATATTTAACTTCAACTTTATGGATGAAAGTTGATAGCAAGAAAAGAGATTTTTCATTTCGGATCATTCATTGAAATATATATTCAAGCTATCTAAATTTGTCCTTAACTTACATTTATTATTCAATATGGAATAGTCGATCAAAGAATATGTCCAAATCAATACTTACGGATATAGTGTCCCAATTGCATTGCAAGGAAAGAAGTTGGAATTTGTGTAAAATAATTTTGATGATCATTCTACAATAAATAAATGTTGTGTCAAGAAAAATTTAGATAGACGGAATGTTTCAATGAATAAATTGAACGGAACCTAACCAATTTAACTCTAATTCAAATTAACCTAATTAATTTGACTCTAATTCAAAGTAACCTAAGTAAATTAACCCTAATTCAAACCTAATTAACCTAATTAATTTAACCTTAATTAACGAATTAACCTAACCAATTAATAATTAAATATAAAAATTAAAATTTAATCAATTAATCGAATTAACCTAACAATTATAAAAAATAACAACTTTTTTTTAGGAAACTATAGAGAGAGAGAGAGAGAGAGAGAGAGAGAGAGAGAGAGAGAGAGAGAGCATACCTTTGCACGGACAAGGAAGAGACAAAGAAGAAGGAGGGAATTCAAGGCTTTTTAGGAGGAAAAGAGTTTGGAGTGGGTGGAGATTCCTAGGGAGTGGAGGAGCAAGGTTTTGTGGTGGTTTTAGGTGGGATGGCGGTAGCGGTTGGAGGAGGAAAGGAGGAGAAGAAGAAAATGGAGGAAGAAAGGGAAATGTGATTTAGAGATTTAGAATTAGCGACGGACATAATTGAATTGCTAATTCCATCGCTATTTATGAGGAAAATATGCTATTAGAGATGGAAATTGCATCACTAACCCCGAATCCAGGAAATACCAATGGGATCAAGAGTCCATCGCTAATTTTCCTCACAATTCCCTCGTTAAGTCGTCTCTAAAATACCCATGAAGATTTTACATCAAATATAATGATGGATATAAGTCTCTCATTGAAAATCTATCATTAATCTGTCGATGTTTTGTAGCTAAAGACCACAACTTGATAACGAGTCACGGTTCGTTCGTTGATCCATCTTATTTTTGTCGCTATTTTTCAATTTTTTGTAGTGCTCGTATGTTAATCCATCTTATTTATTTATTTATTTTTGATATGGATCCATACTACACAATAAATGGATTAGAATAAGGATGAGTCTAGTCTAGTGTAAGGCTTTGGACTATGCAAGGATTAACGCATGTATTCTAACAAGACTATTGTCCATCCCTTATCATTAAAATGCATTATGAATATTGATGTAGTGGGCTTAGAGTAGGGTATATGCTAAAAGAATACATAATTATTACTTTCTTTAGTCTTTACTAGCAATTTGAAATAATTTAATATTCAAAAGAATCTAACTTTCTTCAAAATGAATCTTAACATTTAAATATGGATGACGTGGTACGAATTTAGAGATCAAGGATCATCTTCAATCCACTTAAATATTAACCTCATATCATTATGGAAGCATTTTAACTCTTTAATCATTAGGAAAACCTCTAACACTCTCTCAAATCTCTTATACTCACACAACGGATGATATCTAAAGCTTCATCTATTTAAACTTTGATTATCCATCTATCTATCACTCGACCTATTACTTGCTAGCTTGTTTGCTTCACTCCCCACTACTTGTATCCATCTATTTTGGTTGGTTAACCATTATTTTTATAAATCATAACATTATTTCTTTATATCCTGATCGGTCAATTATATAATTAGTTTTTAATAACCCCATATAATTACAATTAACTTTTTCTCATTATATCATGGGTTCTTACTTATCTTTTAGAGTATTTATTTTGAGGGTTTTTTTTTAAATTCTTATTAATAATTTTCATATATAAATAACTTTGTTTCTTGTATATGGGAATGACTTATGACCTTGCCCATATACAATAGATACCAATATCGTATGTACTCTTCTAGAGATTTGATTTTAAGATACTCTTATGTCAACAAATTGTTTTGCGGGTAACAAATATTTCAAACCGTAATTAGAAGATTGCAACTGTTAATATGATGAGATATAGTCACAGATGCTCCAATCATAGTTGATATAATTTGGAAGAGAATTCTTCCACGGACCACAAAGAAAACTGTAGGCTCAGGTTAAAACGTGAGAGCAGTTTTGAGTACTGTTGACTTTCAGATGTGGGGGTGTGCCTTATGCAGGCTAGGCCTAAACTTGGTACACGTCTGTCGTTTTCACAATGACTGGTCAACGTCGGCCCTCGTTTCGTCATCCATACAATCACCGCATCTTGTCTTTTCTCGTTTAAATCTATGATTGATATGTATTATACACTCTCGTGGTGTATATATATATAGGTGGCTCTTGGTCCTAGAAAAGAAGTGCGAGTAAGTTCTAGTCTTGAATTTGAGGACTAGAATACAGGTTAAGTTAGGAAAACAGGATGGCTGAGGATGAAAAGAATGGCACCAGCTCATATAAGTTATATTGCTGCATACCATGCTTTCAAAAGCCATCATCACCAGAAAAGCACGACAATGTTTCAAGATCTGAGAAAAAGAAGCCCGGAGGATGGAGAGCCATGCCTTTTATCCTAGGTTAATTGCTCACCATCTGATTATCATTATCTGTGCAGCTGACTTGTTATTATTTTTTTATTTTTTATCAGACAAAACGACACTGCTATTAAATAATTTGTTACAGAACAATTGCCTTTTAGCAGAAGAATTCAGATTATATATTCATGGGGTGTTTTGTGTTTTTGCAGGAAACGAGACTTTTGAGAGGTTGGCAAGTTTTGGCTTGTTAGCCAACTTTATGGTGTATTTGACGAGAGTTTTTCACTTGGAGCAGGTGGCTGCTGCAAACACTTTAAACATCTGGTCGGGTATTACCGATTTCGCGCCCTTGATTGGTGCATTCATCTCTGATGGCTATTTGGGCAGGTTTAAGACCATTGCTTATGCATCCTGTGCATCTTTTCTGGTACGTCTCTTTCACCATTTTACAGCACTACTACTTGTAGAACCTATGGTGTTCATCTAGTAATTTCTACGTTCTATAATGTTAACATGTTCTCATTTAGCTTTTGCTTTTGCTTTCATATGTATGGGTGTTGTTTTGAATTCTACCATCGCCTTTTTTATGAAATTACTAGTATTGATAAATAAATAAATAAACAGTATCATGTATAAATTTCTGGATTTTTTTTTTCAAAAAAAAAAAAAAAAACTTTTAGGGGAACTATAAATATGGTTTAGGTTTATTTGTATTTTAGTGACTGGCCTTAATTATATCAATATTTGTACATACAATGACCAAAGTGTATGATGAAAAATTGTAAAATGTTGAGAAAAATTAAGCAGCTATCAATTTCTTAATTTGTCGTTTACTTGTACAACTGTGTGAAGTATCCGATCTTCTGACAAGTAGTGTTTTAATAATAATATTTTTCATCCTTAATTTAGATGCATTTCATTTCATTTTCTTTGTTTGTTTTCACATGATAGTGTTAGTGTATGTAAAATTTAATAATGTTCATCAAAATGCATGGGTGATCGCTGGCTTGCTAGGGATTGGTGATTGTGACCTTAACAGCATGGTTGCCTTATCTTCATCCTGAAAAATGCGAGCCTGCAGGAAATCAGCAGTCTTATGGCCATTGTAAAAGTCCCACCAGCATTCAATTGGGTGTTTTGTTTATTGGCCTAGGCTTCTTATCTATAGGCACAGCTGGGATTAGACCATGCAGCATTCCGTTTGGTGTGGATCAGTTTGACCCAACAACTGAAGAAGGGAAAAAAGGGATTAACAGCTTCTTCAACTGGTATTATACCACCTTCACAGTGGTTATATTGATCACTGTAACCTTAGTGGTGTATATTCAAGACTCTGTTAGCTGGGTTTGGGGTTTTGGAATACCTACTGTGCTTATGCTCTGCTCCATTATACTTTTCTTTGTTGGAACAAGGATTTATGTGCATGTAAAGCCAGAAGGAAGTGTTTTTTCTAGCATTGCACAGGTTTTGGTTTCTGCTTATAAAAAGAGACGGCTTAAGCTTCCTGACAATTGTGATGGAGAGCGGGCTGATGGGATTTTTTATGATCCTCCAATTAAAGATCAATCAACCATGGCGTCCAAGCTCCCTCTTACCAATCAGCTCAGGTGAGGTCATGTCTGCTTCTTGGAAGATTTTCTTAATATAAATGCTACTTGTACCTAGCTAGAAATAATGACCTAAAAATCATTATGATTTGCCACAGCCCCCTTTAAAATCTATTGGAACACTAATGATTCCTTATCTAAAATTAATTGTTTTACGAATTTAATAATTTAAATATATTATGAACTTTTTGTTTTCATAAATAGGCCTCTACAGTCCATAATAATTAGTGGTTATACAGTCAAAAAATTAACATTAATAGTTAATAATTAGTATGATTAATTAAAGAGCCCAAAATTATCATGTCATCTTAATTAATTTATTAATAAATTGATACTATTACACCATATTTCTATTGGATATGTCAGAAACTTTTCACATTGAAATACTTCTTGCTTTGAGCGGATCACCACCTACTCCTCCTCTATACTATATATGTATAGCAGCTGCTTCTAGAAAGTAGATAGAAATGGTGGTAGATTTTTTGATTGCAGGGGGTCCCAATTCAGTAGTGCTTGTCAGTGATGCACTAAGACAGTCCTCTTATCACCATACTGACTGTCAACCAGCTAGCTAGTACGTACTAGGTAGAAATAATTGTTGAATTTATTTTTTTGTGCGTATGATTGTCAAATGATTTGCTAAGAGAGCTAATTAAATCTGCAAATAAATCATTTTACTCCTGTTAGGTTTCTGAACAAGGCGGCAATGATAGAGAGAAATATGGACCTAGAGCCCGATGGTTCGTGTGCGAAGCAACGGAGACCATGCAGTGTCCAACAGATCGAAGAGGTGAAATGCCTGATAAAAACATGTCCAATATGGGTATCAGGTATTGTTAGCTTCACTTCAATAGTACAACAAGGAACATTTACTGTGTCACAAGCCGAGATAATGGACCGACACCTTGGAGAAAAATTTCAAATCCCGGCTAGTTCCATTATCGTCATATCAATGATAACAATAGCATTATGGCTCCCATTCTATGACAGAATCCTAGTACCGGCCCTTCGAAAAGTTACAAAACGTGAAGGTGGAATCACACTTCTCCAAAGAATTGGAATTGGGAATGTAATCTCTGCTCTATCCATGCTAGTAGCTGGATTGGTGGAGAGGGAGAGAAGGGCTGCGGCAATTTCACACCCTCAGGCTGCACCCATGTCGGTCTTTTGGCTAGCTCCACAACTTGTGTTAATGGGGTTATGCGATGCATTCGTCAGTATTGGGCAAATTGAATTTTTTAACAAGGAGTTTCCTGACAGCATGAAAAGCCTTGGTAACGCTCTTTTCTATTGTTCATATGCTGGTGCAAGTTACGTTAGTGCCTTGGTAACCAGCGTTGTTCATAAAGTTACTGGAACGAGCCACCACCCTGACTGGCTGACAAATGATCTAAATGCCGGCAAATTGGATTACTTCTACTTCGTTTTGGCAGGAATGGGGGCTCTCAATTTGATTTATTTCCTGCCTGTTGCTCATCGATATCGTTATAAAGTCACTGCTGCACAATTACCGGAAGACAAAATAATCCCTCTATCAAGTGAATGAGAGGAAAACAACAAGAAGATAAAAAGAGAGATCGATGGTTTGCAGTTACAGCTGTTGTCTTGCCTTTTGATGTGGCATTATACTGTATAATCAATAAGAGTTGGCAGAAGGCATGGCTGCCTGTTCTTAACTATCTATCCGTCTATATATATATAGAATACATAGGTTATCATTGTAACCCAAAGTTGCATGGGCTGTCTTGGAAATCTGAATATGCATTTTCATATTTATGGTACCTCATTGTGGATGATGTTGTGGTGTTTGCATTTTTCAACAAACTGAAGAAAAACAAACAATACATGTGAAGTTTTGTGAACATTTAATGAATAGAAAACCGGAAGGAGGGAAAAAAAAAAAACAAAGCGTATGATGTGAATGGGATGGGAGTGGTACTAATAGAGGTAGAAGTCGATTATTGTTCTTTCAGTTTCATTAAATGAACAAACGAAGAGAGAGTCTTTGCTTAGAAAAAATATATATTTATCTTAATTCGTTTATATTTTAGGTTGGAGCAAATTATCATAATTCGTCTCCATTGACCTATTAGTCAATATTTTTCACAAATTTTACGAACATAAACCCTTATTTTCATATTTTTCAACTTTGAATATACAAAATGTGAGTTGCACACAAACTACACTAGTGTTTAAATTGTATTCGTTTAAGATATGCATCAAATTTCAATACATAATTTTTATTTTATTTTCAACTCAGTTTGAATATAAATGAAACTAATTTTTAACCGCTTGCTGCCAGAAATTACCATCTGTGTGATCTTGCGCTACACCCACACCCCACCACACCCCCCCCCCCCCCCCCAATTATTGCTGCCTCGCGTGATGTTGGCGACTCAACTACGTGATGCAGCAGCAGGTGGAGAGATATCCCACTTGGCGAAAAGAATCGAACCAGACAATACGTCACCACCATAGTGGCTGGCATGCTAGAGCTTGATTTAAGTGATGCCTTGTTTTCTAGCACTCTTCTCTTCATGACGTACCAACTCAAGCAAGCTGCATGTGTTTAAGTTGTGCTTTTATTTTCTTGTCCCCTTCCCTAAGGCGCTGTCGAACAACTGAATCAATCGTTGCCTAATCAACTTGTCAGTGCACCTACCAGAAAGTCAAAGAAATCCAGTAGTTCCGTCCTTTGGAAGTTGGAATTGCAGCTTCTATCAGAAAGTCAAAGAAAACCGTTAGTTCAGTCCTTGGAAGTTGGAATTGCAGCTTCTACCAGAAAATCAAAGAAAACCGGTAGTTCAGTCATTAAAAGTTGGAATTGCAGCTTCTACCAGAAAATCAATGAAAACCGGTAGTTCAGTCATTGGAAGTTGGAATTGCAAGTACAACTTAGAGAATCTTTATTTATTTATTCGAAAAAACCAGGGGTAAGGCTTTAATTAAACAAGATATAGGACCTTATCATAAAAATATCTACCATAATTCGGATACTGGTAGAGGCATATGTGTGGTTTTTATTCCAGAAGACCTTTCATTGATGAGTCAAGAAAGATAAAAGTAGAAGCCAGCAGCCGGCAGTGTTTGGATATAGTGAAAAGCTAAATAGAGGAAAGAAAATTAGGAAAGAAAGAAAACTTTAATTCCTTTGGTTTTCAAAGAAAACATGTGGAATAAAAAAATAATAATAATAAATAAAATTAAAAATGATGAGACCCATTTTCCTTTTAAAATTGAGAGAAAAGTGGGAGAAAATCACGAAAAAACATAATAAAAAATAAAAAATATAGATTATTGTTATTTTTGCCCTCATCTTCTTCATCTCATCCGTTTGGTTTGCCCTCATCATTTTAGCTATTTCTACTGTCCTTCTCTCTCTACGATAACAAAACTCTTTATTTCTATCGATCTGCACATCTAAGATTGCTGACTTTATAGATAATTTATCACTAATTTGTTTTGGATTTATATGTATACGCTCTCTCTATTTATCTATTTGCTTATTTTCCTTGTCTTATCCTCCCCTCATTGTCCATTGTCGATCTGCACATCCAACAAATTTCGACCAAGGAATGCGTATTTTTTTATCTCTTCCCTACCTCAAATTTTCTTAAGAAACAATCAGAAGCCCATTTACCTAAATCCAGTCATATCGATTTTCAATGGCTCGCACGAAGCAAACAACAAGGAAATCCACTGGAGACAAGGCCCCATGTCAGCAACTGGCCACCAAGGCAACCCGAAAATCAGCTCCGACAACTGGAGGAGTGAAGAAACCACACAGATTCAGGCCAGGGACAGTGGCCTTGAGAGAAATCAAAAAGTACTAGAAGAGCATTGAGCTACTAATAAGAAAGCTACCCTTTCAAAGGCTAGTGAGAGAAATAGCTTAGGATTTCAAGACTGATTTGAGGTTCCAAAGCAGTGTAGCGGTTGCTCTTTAGGAAGCTGTTGAGGCATACCTTGTGGGGATGTTTGAGGATACCAATTTGTGTGCTATTCATTCTAAAAGAGTTATTATTATGCCTAAGGATATTCAGCTTACTATAAGGATTAGAGGAGAAAAGGCTTAGCTAGTATATGTGTTTTTATTTCTAGGGTTGTTTCTTGGTATATCTGCGGTTCTGTCTCTGTTTCAATTTCGTTTTAGGTAATTGGAATGTAAGATATTTGGAAATCTAATGCCTAATTGGATTTTCTTTTGATTGGTTTGCACTCTTGTATCTTCTAATTATGAATTATGTGCTAGTTTATTTATTTAGTTTTAGTTTTTTTTTTTTTTTTTTTTTTTTTTTTTTTTTTTTGCTATATTGGTAATCCTACAGTTATGGTGGCTGAACTATGGGCTATTTGGCATGTGTGAAGTTGGTTATGGAGATTTGTTGTGCTAAGTTGATTCTAGAAATAGAACCCATTGAATTTCGTTGCTACCTAATGGTTGAGGACATAGATTTTCTTCCTCAACTTAAACTGGCTCTTGGTGTCTGGGAGTTCCTGTTTTATCTTTGGATTGTAAAGCTATGCATGATCCTGTAAGGGAAATGAAGGGGTAGACTCTCATAATTATATGTAGTTCGTAGTTTTATTATTTAACACTCTTTTTTTGTGGATTGCTAAATAGTAATTTTTTAATCCAAAATAAAAAAAACTGAGACAATGATGGGTAAAAGCAACTAACTTATCATATGCATAGATGATGATACATGTTATTCATATTTAAATTAATTTTATGTTGATAATTAATCTAAATTGGTTATTGAATTAATTAATTAATTAATAGTTATCGATTATTTAATGGAGACGATTCATTATCCATCTTGTCATTTCGGATAGATGCTACATGCTAGATTTTTATTTTATTATCATTTGTGCAATTTTGATGAAAAAAATATTCATATACATTTATTTATACCAATTTATCATAAGTATTTAAATATAAAATGTAATCATAAGGGTATTATAGTAAATATACAATCATACATTTTCTTTCCTTTCTCTTTCTACACTCATCCAAACAAGAAAAATATACTTTATTTTCTTTCATTTTTACTCTTATCCAAACAACAAGTGAAAAATAGGTCTCTTTCTTCTCATTTTTCTTTTCTCTTATTTTCTTTCCTTTCTTTTCTTTTCTTCCAAAAAGAAATATCCAAACACAATGTGTGGCTTTAATTAGACAAGATATAGGACCTTATCATAAAAATATCTACCCTATCGGATACTGGTAGAGACATATGTGTGGTTTTTATTACAGAAGATCTTTCGTTAATGAGTCCAGAAACATAAAAGTAGAAGCGAGTAGTAGTTGATTTAAATTTAGCTAAAAAATAATATATAGTATATATATATATATATATATATATATATATATATATATATATATATATTGGTTTGGTTTTAAGCTTAAAATTATTAAAAGAAACAAACCGAATTTATTTTAATCTTTCAAATTCGGTTTGTTTTTAAAATTTGTTATTCGATTTATACCAAACAAAAAAAAAAAAATGTTTCCAATTTTTTAATGTATTTTCAAATAATGTAAATAAACTAAAAAAAATCAATACTTTAAAATTATTGCAAATATATGATGGATTATATTTTTTGAAAGATAAGGAATGCCACACCAGCAAAATCTCCCAGAAACAAGCCACACGTATTTTAAATCCGCACAGAGCTACCTTCAGTCAGAGATTGCCTAAACATCAACCTACCAATTCTACTTGCAAGGGCATGGCAGAACTTACAAAATTTACAAGCTTATACGATCCAAATAACTTCTGATCTACGAAAACTAAAATTGTTGGATTTGAACCCAAGTTAAATTAAACTTCCATCCAAAAATATTTTATAATTTATTATCATTTTAATTAATAATTTCTATATTGATTTTTGTGAAGGATCTTTGAGATAAATGGCACTTAATATATATGACTATAAATAACCAAGGAATCCATCAAATTATTCATTCTATACATAAAAGAAATAATGAAGGTTGAAGATCAAGCACACAAGTCCTCTCAAAACATAAAATATGGTCCACTAAAAAAGGAAATGGCCAAAGTTTTTTTTTTTTAAAGAAAACAAAATCAAGTCAACCAATAGGATAAGTGATTTAATATGTTTTTATATTAGAGTGGGTATTTTTAATTAAGTCTATTATTTCTGTATATAATATCTAATTCTCTTATTAATCATTCTGAATATTTTTTTCAAACAAATGTTTATATGTAGGTCACATAGCCAAAATTTATTCTGAAAATATCCTTAACTAAAATGCAAAATAAATAAATAATAAATCTCTAATATTATGTCCTTATATTTCTAATTATGTCTATTATATTTTTATATAATATCTAATTCTTCAATATGTTCTTCAGTCAAGCTTTTTCAACCAAATCGATAAAATTATATTTTTCATTCTAAAAGTATCCTTGAGCTATATAATGATATAGTAAAAATTTTTCAAAATTACTCAAAATGTTTTGTGAAGTAAAAAGCTTCAAAATTCAAAATTATTAAAATTTTTAATTTTTTAAATTAAATTTTTTTAATAATTTCGAATTTTAATGCTTCTTATTTATTAAAACATTTTGAGCAATTTTAAAAAGAAGCATCAAAATTCAAAATTAATAATTTTTTTTAAAAATAAAATCATATTTTGTATAATTCAAGAGTATTATCAGAATAAAAAATTTAATTATGTAAACATAGATAGAAAACATCACATAATCACATATTTGAGAATTTGATATTATATAAAAATATAATACTATAAGCTTTCTTTTTTTTCATTTTAGTCGGAGGTATTTCAAAAATAAATTTTGATCATGTGACCTATACGTGAATATTTGTTAAAAAGAAAATGATCAATAGGACTAATTAAATAATTAAACACTATACATAAATGTAATAAATTCAATTAAAAGCGTATAGATGAATAGAAAATTCACCCTATCATATAATAATGTATTAAACAATTTATCCTAAATAAAATAAGGATCTCATATATATTTATATATATCGGACTTGTGGGAAAAAGGCTCTTGTTTCAGATCGGATCGTTAGTCAAAGGATTCGAACATGTAAAAAGCACACCAAGAAAAATCTACCGATTTTTATACCTAAACCAATTATTGCAATTTTTATTCACATTTTAAATTTATCTAATACAAAATTTATGCACATGTGCTGAGACACAGCAGCCATTCTTGACAACCAACGAACTTCTAAAGAATCAGACTTCAAATCGTCGATGCCATCTCCTAACCATGTCCAATTTGATAAAATGTCCACGTGCCATATCATAATTTTGACGAACAAAAAAAAGTTGAACATTTTATAAGCAATGATACACCCTTAGTCAAAACCGTGAATGATTGAAACAGTGTCATTTAGGCCTTTATTATTATTATTATTTTACTTTTGGAGAAAGATTTCAGCAGCCTCTCCTGCTGCTCCGAAGGTAAGTGAAATTGACATGGCCTGTACATGCCACGTGCTGTGGGAGGAGCAGGACTAGGATTATTATTATTTATTTATTTATTTTCATTTTCAAAATTCAAAGAGGTAAGAACAAAATTGCAATCAAGAGATGATAGTCAAAATGGTCGCGCAAAACAACTAGTGGGGTAGTAGGAGTATTATTTTTCTCTTACAGGAATTGAAGTGTGAACTGTAAACATGCATGTGACCCTCTTGATGCTAGGCCCATGTCGATTCGTAATCCCACGAACATAACCGCACCGACCATCGTTTTGTTCTGATCTCTCTCGACCTACCAAGTTAATAAAATGTAACTACAGTCAAGAATTTATCATCCTTATGTTATTGTGTTGGTTGTCGGCAAAGGTAATTAATAAATATGATTGCATCAACAAATTATTGGCTCTACAGTAAGGTAAACGAGTTGGGTTGTCGACCATTTTTTTTTTAAATATATTAATTTTGAATTCTTAAATTGTATTTATTAAAAAAGATTAAAATATATTAAAATATATTATCATTTAGGCCTTTTTTAAGTTTTTACTTCTTGTTTCCAGCAGCCCCTCCTGCTACTTCTTCATACCAATCTGACCCTTCTTTTCAGGATTGTTCGTCTATATATGCCCTCCTTAATTTTGCCGTTCTACTATTTTCTTTATTCTTGGTAAAATTGAATATGAATTCATCCCCAAAAAAGGAAGGAAAATTTAAATTCTGTTATAAAATAAATACAAATAATAAGAGAATTGAAGAAAAGGATAACAAGAAAATAAAATCACTATAATGTGAATATAAGTGATAAGAACTTCAAAGTTTCTCTTATTCTCTCTAAGAAACTTATACACCAACTAATGAATAATCAAACCTATTTATAGGCTTCAAAATTAAGGAGAGAATTGGAAGGGACTATGAATAATCAATTGCATCATCCTTTCAATTTCTCATATTGAATGATAAATTGAATCAGATTAAGAATCATGAGTAGTGAGGATATGAAAAGTGGATGAACATGATGATGGACATTCATTATCATTATTTCATAACGCTCCCCTCGAATGTCCATTGTACAAGGAACATGCCTCGTTAAAACCTTACTAGGAAAAAACCCGAGTGGGAAAAAAAATCCTAATGAAGGAAAAATAGTACAATATTCCTTGCATACATTAATTTTCATTTTGGTCTCCCCTGTTGAAGGCATTATTTAAGATCTCTAAGACGACGCATTCCAATCTTGTGAATCATCTTCTCAAAAGTTACTAAATTGTCACTTTGATGTATTCTTCTTTCAATTGAATTATGCAAGCAGCATCATCCTCATATGATATTGTTGAAACTTTTTTACTGGTAGATAAATGCATTTCTCTCGGATACGATGGATCATTGATCTTAGCCAAACACATTCTCGACTTGCCTCGTCAATTGATATTTCGCATGATTTGAAGATGTGGCAGCTATAGTTTGCTTTATGTAACACAAACATATAGCTGAATCTCCATACGTAAATATATAACAAGTTGTGATCGAGCTTTGTGTAGATCGGATAAATAACTCGCATTTGCATAACCAATTAATATTGTCTTTGATTTATTGG